CTATCTCTTGTTCCTTCTTGTCAGTCAGGGTTCTCCAGAGAAACAAAACCAATAGGGTGTGTGTGTGTGTGTGTGTGTGAGTGTGTGTATGAAGAGGGGAGGGAACCGATTGATTTATTTCACAGGACTGGTTCACATAATTGTGGAGGCTTGCAAGCCCAAAATGTGCAGGGCAGGCCAGCAGATTAGAGACCAAGGGAAGAGAAGATGTTGCAGCTCAAGACAGAAGGCAGCTTGCAGGCAGAACTCCTTAAGTGTGGGATAGGGGGAGGACAGTGTGTGTGTGTGTGTGTGTGTGTGTGTGTGTGTGTGTGTGTGTAAACCTCAGTCTTTACTCTTTTTTGTTTTAATCTTTTGGTGGTGCCGCATGGCATGTGTGATCTTGGTTCCTCAACCAGGGATCAAATTCATGCCCTCTACATTGTTAAAACTCTGCACTACTTTAACCACTGGACCACCAGGGAATTCCCTTGGTCTTTTACTTAGAGACTGATTGAAGCCCATTTATTTATGGAGGATAATCTGTTTTTTGCAAAGTCTACTAATTTAAATGTCAATCTCAGCCAAAAAGTATCTTCACAGCAAATTTGAGACTTCTGTGTGATCAAATAACTGGGGACCAAGACCTTGCCAAATTGATGCATAAAATAAACTATCACATTCAGCTGCTTCTTTTGCTGAAGTGTCTGTGTATTCAAAAGTCCACCATGGACTTCCACTCACTTGCTCCCTGTTAGCCTCAGGGTCCAGAGACCACCTTGCCTCCTCTTCTCCCTTCTCTGCTCCTCCTGGCTCTTGCCCAGCCCCTCCTTCCTTTAAGCCACACACTGTAATTCTCTCATCTTTAATATGGGACCAATTCTCCCTCAGCTACTGCTACTTTTTCTACCCGACTGTCTCCACTCCCTCGCCTTTTTCTCTCCAAACTACGCCATCCCAGCAGCTCTACCACCTCTGTTCTGCTCAGGGGGCCTCTATACCAAATACTATGGGTCAATGCTCTTCTCAGTGGGTTTTTCCTCATTTCATTTGATCTTGCAGCAGCACTTATCCTCAATGACTATCCCTCTTTCTTGAAAACACCTTTGCCTGCATGGGATTGCAAGGCTCAGCACTGCCCAGACTTCTCTCCACCTCATAGTGGCTGCTCCTTCTCCTTCCCCTACCTCCTTCCCCCTTTCCTCTTTTTCCCCTCTGGATTTCTCTCCTCTCTTTCTAGTCTCCAAAGCTAGTGTGGCCCATTCAACTCCTCCAAGATAGCTCCTCTACCCACGCGAGTCTGTCCTAGGATCTCAACTCCTATTGCCTGCTGTGACAACAGATTTACACCTCTAGCCTTGGCTTTCTCCCAGAACTATCACAGCTATTTGTCTTGAGCATTTCAGACCTAGCAAGTCCAAAACTCATCTTTGTCTCCCAACTCCTTCCCAGAAAATGTTTTGCAGTTTCTTAGGCAGACTCTCCAATCACCCAACCGGGGCCAAAACTACACACATTTCTCACTCCTTTAACACCCAGTAGCACACCATGGAGGAAACTGCTACTGCTCACCAGCCTCACCTCCACCAGCTGATTCTGGAATGGGCCATATCCTGCTTGCATTTCTGTGGCTGCTTCAAAAATAGCCTCTGCCTCCCTCCATCCAGATCCAATCTGCTCTGCACAGTGATAATGATAAAATTAAAGTCCCATCAAGCCATGCCCTCACTTGAAAACTTCTAAGTGTAAAATACACGGTCACTCCATTCCAGTTACCCCTTTCTCTAGCCAGGGGACAGGCCTCCTGCTTTATGGCCTTTGCATATGCTGTTCCTCTGCTGGAATGATCTTCTTGCGCACTCCTGTTCAATTTGCCCTCCACCTGCTCTCTGCTCAAATGTTACCTTATGAAAGTCCTACCCAACCACCCTCGCAGGCTCCTTCTTACCCTGTTTTATTTTTTCATGCCATCAATCATCTGATTCCTCTTCTAGCTCCTAAAAGCCAGGATCATCTATCCACTATGATCTCCCCAAGGTTGACAAACTGGTGGCACACAGCAAGCACTTTATAAAAATACATACAATCAGCGACATAATAGAAACCAAATGAAGCATTACTTGTGAGATGGATCAATGGTCCTTGAGTAGCATTTACATTCAGGGTTTTCTTTCTGTTGCTTTACTCGTGGTATCTGTCATAATCCCACTTGATGTCAAAGAAAGCACCTTCCCACGGTCTCCAGTTGCCTCCCCACCTCCACCCCAAGCTGACACACCATGGCCCTCACTCACTAACTGCCTCCCTGCGCTTCTACACGTCTAGGGCCTTTGCTGTCATGGCGGCCTTCACTTGGGACCCTGTTTTCACCCATGCTGGGCTTGATCAACTCCCTCATCTCAGATGTCACCATCACAGTGGAACCTGCCCTGACCTCTTTCTTAATACTGTGACCATCCCCAGCTCATCCCCAGTATCCATTACCTGATATTGCTAAGCATTCTTCTTCCTCTGCACTGCGAATCAAACATAGCAGATCACGTTATTGATTTTGCCCTGACCTTCTCACCGATCCCCTCAGCCAACTGTGTTCAAAGATGCACCCTGAGAAGCTGGAATAGAACCTAGCACCATGAATGCCTAGTGAGTACTCAGTATACATTTGTCAAATAACTGAATGGCCCCACACATTCAGTAAAGTAGACAGCATTATCCATTTTTTGGGTGAGGAAACTGAGGCACAGAAAGGTTAAGTATAGCCAAGATCATCTGGTTAGGAATTGACGAGGCAGGTTTTAACCTAGGTGCTCTGACTCATAACCACTGTACTGAGCAAAATGCAATAAATAAACACAAAGCTTCAAAGAGATAGTTCACAGAGAGGTGTCAGTTCGGGGGAAGGAACTGGACAGGGCAGTGAGGACTGATCTGATGCTGTGAGTTAGGGATTTCTGGGCTTTGAATTTACCTGCTTTAGAACTGCAGTGGACAGAATTATGAGCTCAGATTACCAACACTCAACAGGTAGTTTCCTCACCCACCTGATCACAGGGCTGGGAATTCATGCATATAGGATCTGGACTTTTAGAGCAGGCTGCACTATTTGCCAAAGCACCTTAGTCTGACCTACCTTGGCTAATCCTTGGTTCCTCCCCTGCCTCTTCTCAAAGCCATGATGCCTGACTGGTGCTCCTGAGAAAGGGGTGCATGTGAGTTCTGTTGAGTCCAGTTAAATCTGAAAGGGGGTAGTTCCCACTGGTATCTGCAGGTTCCAGGGAGATGGGAGACCCTGCCTGCACCTGGCTGTCATTTGGGGGACCAATCACAAAAATGGATTTTACTCCTTTGCTTTATCTCCTGCAAAAGTCACAGAATCCAAGTAAACACCAAACGGTGGCTCCCTGTTAACTCCCTTACTCAGGAATGATTATTTGTTATTTAGAGGAGGAAACAAAAGGCTCCCAAGTCCTTGAAACGAGGAAAGCAATGCCAAGAAATCCAGTTCCAGACCCCCGTTGNGAGGAAAGCAATGCCAAGAAATCCAGTTCCAGACCCCCGTTGGTGGTCCAGTGGTTTAGATTCTGTGCTTCCAATTCAGAGGGTGCAGGTTCCACCCCTGATTGGGGAACTAGGACCCCACATGACATGTGGCACCACCAAAAGATAAATAAACCAATCAATCCAGTTTCATAGTCCATCCCACCTCTTTCACATCTGCTCAACCAGGCCACTTCCTTTCTTTAGGGGAACTGGTATTGTTCTGCTCGAGCTGACAGGACATCAGTTATCTGCAGTAGTGTATCTTCTCTAGACTGTCTGCATGCTCAGTCATGGCAAGAATACTGGAGTGGGTTGCCATTTCCTCCTCCAGGGGATCTTCCAGACCCAGGGATCCAATACGCATATGCGTGGCTCTTGTATTGGCAGGCGGATTCTTTACCAATTCTTTACCACTGAGCCACCTGGGAAGCCCTTCCTGTTTAGCAGATGGAGACGTTTCTTTGCCACCTTCTGATGGGAAAGTTCAACTTCAGTGCCCAGCAGATGAAAAACAGAAGTGTTGGTGTCAATCAGCCCAGCTCAGGACCCCCAGACATGCTTTCTCCCAAGCTCCAGAACCTGGAAGATGAAGGATGGCCCCAGGAAGACCTCTGTCTTCGAGCTACATGTTCAGCATAGCGTAGCGGCAAGGAGCCCTGTCTAGACGTCCAGAGGCCCTAATTCTTCCTGGCCCTCGCTGCGACTCGACTTCAAGTCAAAGTCCATTAGCCCGTTCCCCGGACTCAGTGTGAACAGCTAGCCACACCCTACACTTAAGGGAGCAATAAGCACCTCGACCACCCACTGGGGGCCAAGACGGGCCGAAGTCCCTCTGGGCGCTCCCCAGGGTTGTCCTGATGCCCAGAAGGGACGTGTGACGAGTAGCTGTCAAACTCCGCACACTCTCCAAAAGCCAGGGCTGACACCTTGGGCATCAGACAGCGGATAAAAGCGGAAGGTGAGCCTTCCTTTCCCGAGCCTTCCTCGCCTCTCCAGCGGCCGCGGGTCGGGCGTAGAGGAGGGGTTTTGGCTGGAAGGAGGTTGGGCCTGCGGGCGTGGGGTGGGGGTGCCACACGGCGATTCTGAAATGTAACGGCCCGCGGTGCGCCGCAGCCTTCTTCCTCCGCTCCCCCTCCCAACTCCAGCATTCAGCCTCGGCTCCCGGATCGGCCCTTCTGGGAGTAAACAAGCCCCTTGTACGAGTCCGAAGGGGCAGAACAGAGAAGAGAGGAGCCCCAAGACCAACCTTCCCACAACCAGCGGCCGCTCACAGCCAGACGCACCCGCGCGAGCCCTCCCGCTGGCCCGCTTCTCGGCCCCGCCACCCGCCTCCAGGCGCGGTCCCCGTCGCGCCTTCGAGGCCCCTGCCTCCCGCCCCGCGTCGACACGAGGCCCGGGCGCGCGCGAAGTGGGGCGTGGCAGGGCGGGGCGCGCCGGCCGGGCCGGGCCGGGGGTGTCGAATGTCACCCCTAGCGCACACCTCGGCCGGGGGGCGGAGGAGAGAACCACTGAGATGCGGAGACCTCCCCGGTCCTAGAGCGGAGCAGGAAGTGTCCCAGGGGAGGGAGCCGGAGGGCTTCGGCCTTTCCTTTCCTCAGCGTCCGGCGGGCTCCGGAGGCGGTCAGGCCTGTACTGCCCGCCAACTGGGACTCGGAGAGGAGGTGAGTGCGGCCCGGGCGGCCCCGGGCGGCCCCGGCTTCTGGGTCCCGCGCGCGCCACTGCGCGTTCCTCGGTCCCCTGGCTCCCAGCCCCGCGCGCTCCGGCCTCCCCTCCCAGAGCTGAGCGCTGAATCCCTGGGCAGGGGATGAGACGACACAAATGTTTTTCAGGCGCCTGCATTTGATCCCACTTCTTCCCTCTTAAGCGGAGCCGTGGTTTTCTGGATGAGCAGGAGACGGGGTCTCGGCTAGCCAGGGACAGAGTGGCCCTCGCAGAGAACCCGCCTCAGGAAGGACACCCGGGAGACCGGGCTGGAAGGATGAGGAGCTGCCGCCGTAGACTTCCGCCGCAGGAGAGCTTTGAGGTAGACGCTGAGAAGGAGTTCCATGCTGTGAGGTGAGGAGCCGGGAGCTGGCTAGAGTGGAGGTGGGTGTGGGTGTATAGGGAGGGGACAGGGAGAGATCTGGATCAAAGAAAACCTTGCCCCTTTCCCTGGCATACGGTATGCTCATCCCCTTCCCTTTCAGCTCATCCAGCTCCGTTCCTCTTCGTAGAGCTGCTTTTAAGTACGCCCCGCCCCCTGTTGGATTCTCTTGAATTAATCAACGTTAATTCATTCATCACTCATCATTTCTGAGCTTCCTACGTGCCGGTGCCAGGGTGACAGGAACACGGCTCTCTGGTTAGGGATGATGGACTAAGCCCAGAGCCAGATGCCCTAGAGCACTGAGGGTGGGTGCAGACCTGAGGAACCCAGAGGCCCTGGAGGTGTGTGATGGCCGAGTTCAGGGGAGGTGGAGTTGAGTAGGGCTGAGATTGGGTGTCAGATACAGGAGCAGACACTGGAGGAAATCCGGTGGTGGGGCAAACTGTAATGTGTGCTGGCATGCTGGGGAGCCTCCTAAACCGGGTGTTAAGGGCAAGGGACCACGTCCAAGGATCTCAGAGGCCTGATGGTGGGGGAGGGGACCGTGTTGGACCGTGTTGGACCGTGTTTGCCATTCGTTTTCCCTGGGTCCCTTACTCTGGTTTAGTGGCTGCTACTCTGATGTCGCCCTGCATTTGTGGGTTTTTTTTTTTTTCATTTATTTTTATTATTTGGAGGCTAATTACTTTACAGTATTGTAGTGGTTTTTGCCATACACTGACATGAATCAGCCATGGATTTACATGTGTTCCCCATCCAGATCCCCCCTCCCACCTCCCTCTCCATCCCATCCCTCTGGGTCTTCCCAGTGCACCAGCCCTGAGCACTTGTCTCATGCATCCAACCTGGTCGCCCTGCATTTGTTCACTGAGGAGATGCAGGGGCTCCTGAGCCCCTTCTCTGCATATGTGGAGGCTGTGCCATGACAGCCTCACCTCTGTCCTGCCTGGGGAAGGTCTGTGAGGTGTGTGTGGTTTTCTTCATTGTGTTTTAAAGATGACAAGAGAAAAGAAGGCAAGATGGGTGGAGGCCAGGTCAAAGGTCCAGATATCTTTAAATATATACTGAAGTTACTATTCAGACTTTAGTGAATTGGGTGGAGGCGCCTTTTAAAACACCGGTATTTTTAAATACTTAGTGTTATTTTTCTCTAGTAAACTCAGGATGTGCCTCTTTTGACTCTCCTCATCTCTTGTTTGGGGGCTTCCCTGGTGGTTCAGCAGTAAAGAATCTGCTTGTAATGCAGGAGATGCAGGTTAGATCCCTGGGTCGGGAAGATCCTCTGGAGAAGGGCATGGCAACCCACTCCAGTATTCTTGCCTGGAGAATCCCCATGGACAGAGGAGCCTGGCGGGCTACAGTCCATCGCATCGCAAAGAGTTGGACACAACTGAGCGACTGAGCCTGCACACACGCATCTTTTGTGTGGGTGTCTCCGGGGCTGTCTGCTTTCTTCCCTGCTTCCTGGTGCATACTCCACTGAGCAAGACTGACTCGCTCTGTGTTGGTCTAACTCTGATAGCCCTCACTACCAGCAGGGTGAATTTCCTGTCCTGGATCAGCTTTGAAGGCTTTTCCTGTGCATGTTTGTCTTTGTCTTTTCAGCTCATTTTGTAAAGGTCTCAAGGGCAAGGACGGTGACTTTGACTCTGAAGCCTCAAGATAGCGGCCTTCTCAGCTCGTCCATTTCAGGTCCCTTCCAGGAGGACCTGGCCATCGAAGGTACCACAGAGTGTTAATTACCATCTCTCTCCTGCATGCGGCCCCACTGGTCTCCTAGGATGCTTGGAACACCAGTGCCACGTTGAAATGTCACTGCTTTTCTCCTGGACTGCCTGCCTTGTTCATCCAGTCCTCAGTTAGGGAAATCATATAATGATGCTTTTGGGAATGGGGTTGTTCCTTCTCTGCCTTTGTGTAAGGATCATCCGCACTGACACTTGTCACATATCCTGGTGCTTCTCCCAAGGGCTGATCTCTGTGGGCTTTTTCACTTTTCCCATCACCACCCCAAAAAAACTACTACAGGAGACCAGAACATTGAAGCCAGTGATTTCTGTTTGGAAATAGGGTCGTCTTCTGCTGCTGACCCCCATCAAATCCCATCATGCCCACAGCCCTGTGCCCCCGAGTCTTGGCTCCAAAGGAAAGTGAGGAGCCGAGGAAAATGAGGAGCCCACCGGGAGAGAACCCTTCCTCCCAGGGTGAGCTTCCCAGTCCCGAGTCCTCCCGCCGCCTCTTCCGACGCTTCTGCTACCAGGAGGCTGCAGGCCCCCGGGAGGCCCTACACCGCCTCTGGGACCTGTGCCGGGGCTGGCTGCGACCTGAAAGGCACACCAAGGAGCAAATCCTGGAGCTGCTGGTGCTGGAACAGTTCTTGGCCATCCTGCCCCGGGAGGTCCAGGGCTGGGTGCGGGCCCAGGAACCTGAGAGTGGTGATCAGGCTGTGTCCGCTGTGGAGGCCCTGGAACGAGAGCCGGGGAGACCCTGGCAATGGGTGAGCAGAGGGGGCTGGGCTAGGCTGGCTGGGAGAATGGGAAGGGAGAGGGAGAGAGTGGGGCTGGGCAGCAGATGTGGAGAGGGTGGCCACCTTGCGCTTTGATGCTTTGGTGGAGTCACGTATTCCCTGGCCAGGGATGAGGAATTCCGTCTAGAGCCATGTGCTTTTGTTATGTCCATGTTGAAGTTTGATAACCCCAAAGGCAGAATCCATTACCTAAAGGCTCTAATTTGTGACACGGTTATGTCATCCCTCTTTATAGCCCTGAACAAGGTGGGTCTGTGCTTCTAGTGGTTGAGTTAATGGTCAGCAGGCCGGGGGGGGGGAATTTGCCCAGTCGCTGGCACAATTGCTGGTCCTCATCTGGCCAGGGACTTCTCCACCGAGCTCTAAAGAGCCCTCTCTGGGTTGCAGCTCAAGCACTGTGAAGACCCTGTGGTGATTGACGATGGGGACAGCCCTCCAGACCAAGAGCAAGAGCAGCTGCCAGCAGAGCCCCACAGTGACCTTGCAAAGAGCCAGGATGCCCAGCCCGTAGCTCTGGCTCAGAGCCCTGGGCTTCCAAGCAGGCTCTCAGGCCAGCTCAGCGGGGACCCAGGTAGGGCGCCCATGGGAGTGGGGGAGGGCGTCTGTACCTGGCCCTGTGCGCTGGGAAGTAGCTCTTGACGTTTTGGTTCTCTCCTGCTCCCTGAGTGGCTCTGAACCTTTTTCAGGGTCTGGTCCTTCCCTAGAGCAATTCAATGCGAATCTCATGAGAGTGTCCTCTTCATGGTGCCAGGGCTGCCCGGAGGGACCTCTACTGTGAGTAGGTGTTTTTTGAGGCTGCATCATGTTGCTGCTTTGAGGGCGCATCTCTGAGTTTGTTTTGTTGGTTTGGAGACAGCTGGGCACCATCACTGTCCAAATAGGGCCTGCGTGGGGAGCTGAGTGTAGCCATGTCCTCTTATCTCTCTGAACATCTCTTTTCTCAGCTAAATAACTTCTGCTCTCAAGATTTTATAATGTTGAAAGAAGATATAAAAATGCCTCCTAGGGAACAGAGTGATATCGCCAGGACTTGCGGCTTGAATGGTGGCTAGCCATGTCTGTACAAAGTGCACTAATGGCCACAAGCAGTTGGCTTTGACAGCAGATATACTTGGCTTTTAATCCTCCAGCTGTGACCCAGGTCATGCTTCTAAACTCTGCAAGCCTCAGTGTCCTAGTCTGTCCAGTGGAGATAATCTCAATAAAGCGAATGACTTGAACTTGTGGTTTTCCGGTACATCAGAAATTTTTATTTACGCTGTAGTTTGTTATGTGCACAATAGCATTTATGTCTCAAAAAATTGTACTTATTTTAACTGAAAATATTTTATTGTTAACCATTGTGTGAGCCTTCAGCAAGTTGAGATCTTTTTGCTGATAAAAGGTCTTGCCTCCGTGTTGGTGGCTGCTGACTCATCAAAATGGCAGTTGCTGAAGGTTGCTGAAGGTTGGGGTAACTGGCAGTGTCTTAAAATGGTAATTAACTTTTGCCTCATCGATTGAATCGTTCCTTTCAGGAATGATTTTCCTATAGTATATAATGCTGATTCATAGCATTTTGTCCACAGAACTTCTTTCTTTTTAAAATAGAATCAGTCCTCTCAATCTGTCATTGCTGTATCAATTGAGTTCATGTAATATTATAAAGCTTTTGTTGCCATTTCACCAGTCTTCACAGCGTATTCACCAGGAGTAGATGTCATTTCAAGAAACTGCGTTCTCTACTCATCCATAAGAAGCAACTCTTCAAGTTTTATCATAAGATTTTTGCAGTTCAGTCACATCTTCAAGCTCCACTTCTAATTCTGATTCTTTGCTGTTTCTACCACATCTGCCATCTCTTCTTCCACTGAAGCCTTGAACCACTCGAAGTCATCCATGAGGATTGGTGTCAACTTCTTTCAAACTCCTGTTGTGTTGATGTTGATATTTTGGTATCTTCCCATGAGTGTTTTTTTTTTTTTTTTTCTGGCCATGCTGGCTTGTGGGATCTTTGTTCCCCGACCTGCTGTTGAACCTGAGCCCTGGCAGTGAAAGCGCTGAGTCCTAACCGCTGGTAGAGGTGGTTTAGTCGCTAGGTTGTGTCCAACTCTTAACGACCCCATGGACTGTAGCCTGCCAGACTTCTTTGTCCATGGGATTCTCCAGGCAAGAATATTGGAATGGGTTGCCATTTCCTTCTCCAGGGGATCTTCCCGATCCAAGGATAGAACCCGGGTCTCCTGCATTACAGATTCTCTGCCGACTAAGCTATGTGGGAAGCCCCTAACTGCTAGACCACCAGAAATGTTCTCGTGAATGTTCTTAATGGCATCTAGAACAGTGAATCCCTTCCAGGAGATTTTCAGTTTACTTTGTCCAGATCCATCAGAAGAATCACTGTGTACGGCAGCTATAGCTTTGTGAAATGTATTTCTTACCTTAAATAATAAGACTTGAAACTACTCTTTGATCTGTGAGCTTCAGAATGGATGTTGTGTTAGTAGGCATGAAAACAACATTAATCTTGTACATCTCCATCAGAGATCTCTTGGGTGACTATTCAAAAAGCAGTACTATTTTGAAAGGAATCTTTTTTTTCTGAGCAGTAAGTCTCAACAGTGGGGCTTAAAATATTCAGTGAACCATGTTGTAACCAGATGTGCTGTCATCTAGGCTTTGTTCCATTTATAGAGCACAGGCGGAGTGGCTTTAGCATAATTCTTCAGGGTCCTAGGAGTTTAGGAATGGTAAATGAGCATTGGTTTCAACTTACAGTCACCAGCTGCATTAGTGCCTAACAAAGAGAGTCAGCCTGTTCTTTAAAGCTTTGAAGCCAGGCATTGCCTTTTCAGTAGCTATGAAAGTCCTATGTGGCATCTTCTAATATAAGGCTGCTTTATTCACACTGAAAATCTGTTGTACAGTGTAGGCAGCATCGTTAATGATCTTAACTTGACCTTCTGGATAACTTGTTGCTTCACCTTGCACTTTTATATTATGGAGAAGAGATTTCTTCCTTGAACCTTGTGAACCAGCATCTGCTAGTTTCAAACATTTTATTTATGGCTTTTTTTTACCTCTCAGCCTTTGTAGAATAAAAAGAACTACGGCCTTGTTCTGGATTAGGTTTTGGCTTAAGGGAATGTTGTGGCTTATTTGATCTATCCAGACTGCTAAAACTTCCACTGTATCAGCAATAAGGCTATTGCACTTTCTTGTGTGTTCGTTGGAGTAGCACTTTTAATTTCTTGCAATAACTTTTTGTTTGCATTCACAGCTTGGCTGTTTGATGCAAGAGGCCTAGCTTTTAGCCTGCCTCAGCTTTTTTTATTTTTAATATTTATTTATTTGGCTGGTGGCATGCAGAATCTTTAATTGCTGCTTGCAAACTCTTAGTTGCTACATGTGGGATCTAGTTCCCTGACCAGGGATTGAACCCAGGCCCCCTGCACTGGGAGTGCAGTCTTAGCCACTGGGCCACAAAAGGGAAGTCCCTCAGTCTGTTTCAGCTTTTGATATGCCTTCCTCACTGTTTTAAATCTTTTAATGGGAGACATATGTGACTCTTCCTTTCATTTGGACACTTAGAAGCCATTGTAGGATTGTTCATTGGCCTTATTTCAGTATTGTTGGGTCTTACAACATAGAGGTCCAAGAAGAGGGAGAGAAATGAGGGAGCCAACACAACACACACGTTTACCTGTTAAATTTGCTGTCTTATGTGGGCCTAGTTTATGGTACCCAAAAACAGTTACAGTAGTAACATCAAAGATCACTGATCACAGGTCACTGTGACAAATATGATAATCATGAAAAAGTTTGAAATATTATGAGAACTCTCAAAATGTGACACAGAAACATGAAGTAAGCAAATGCTGTTGGGAATTGGATTGCTTTGATGCAGAGTTGCCAGAAATCTTCACTTTTTAAAACACATATCTGCAAAGTGCAATAAGATGAGGTATGCCTGGCTACCCATAAAATACTGAATAGGGGGCCTGAGTTGCCCATGAATTTTTTTTTTACTGCACTGTGGAGTTCACACTCTTAGTTGTGGCATGCAAACTCCTAGGTTTTTTGTTTTTTAATTTAATTTTACTTATTTCTTTTTGTCTGTGCCACGTCTTTGTTGCTGTGAGGGTTTCTCTCCAGTTGCAGTGCATGGGCTTTTCATGCAGAGCCCAGACCCCAGTTGCAGCACATGAGTTCAGTAGTTGTAGTTCGCAGACTCTAGAGCACAGGCTCAATAGTTGTGGTGCACAGACTTAGTTGCTCCAAGACTTGTGGAATCTTCCTAGACCAGCGATTGAACCTGTGTCTCCTGCATTGGCAGACGGATTCTTTGCCTCTGAGCCACCAGGAAAGTCCAGGGGGTTTTTTTGTTTAAGATTTTTTTTTTTTTTTGCTGCACCGTGTAGCATGTGGGATCTAGTTCTCTAATCAGGGATTGAATCTGAGCCCCTAGATTGGGAGCATGGAGTCTTAAACACTGGACCACCAGAGAAGTCCCCTGCCCATGATTTTTAGTTGTAATCACCATGGAAAAAATTTGGTCCTCTCGCGTTGAAGGAAGTGACCTGTATGGTGTGAGGGTTAGCTCCGGTGGACTTATCACTTTGTACTATAGTTATAGATGGCAGAAGAAAGTATAAGGAGACCAGAAATCCATTCTTGGTGATTCACAGAAGTTGTCCTTACTGTAGTAAACTTCGGAGTGTAGAAAAGTTACATTTCTTTATGTGTGAAACTACACTGATTTTTATACAAATCAAATAAAACGCCAGCCTTTCCTTGCTTAAAAGTCAAGACAGATGTGCTAGTTTGTTTGGGCTTCTATAATACAGTCCCACAGACTGGGCAGCTGAAACAACAGACATTTCTGTGTCCTAACATGGTTTTCGTTATGTATGTCTGTGTCTTAATCTCTTATGAGAGCATCAGGCATATTGGATTAGGGCTCACTCCCATTACCTCATTTTAATTTAATTACTGCTTGAAAAATCCTATGTCCAAATATATTCCCATTCTGAGGTATTGAGAGTTGGGACTTTTAATATGAATTCAGCAGAGATGCAATTCAGCCCACAACCTCAGGCATGAGAAACACCCATTTGCCCAAATAAACAATGCTTCCCAGGTGGCACTAGTGGTAAAGAACCCACCTGCCAATGCAGGAGACCCAAGAGATGCAGGTTCAATCCCTGGGTTGGGAAGATCCCCTGGAGGAGAAAATGGCAACCCACTCCAATATTCTTGCCTGGAGATTCCCATGGACAGAGGAGCTTGGTGGCCTATAGCCCATAAGGTGGCAAAGAGTCAGACATGACTGAAGTTACCTAGTATGCATGCCCGTGCCAACAGCCTGGGTTCTACAGGTTCTGTAAGCTATGAGAGAGTCTTAAAGGAACTGTGTCAGCCTACTCACTTCCGGGTAGAGTTCTGAGATAAGCCAGCTACTGTGTGTCAAAAGGTCAGTGCTGCCATTTCCCTGAGCAGTAATAATAAATGGACAAAGAAAGTATGATGAGAGTTAGCTATGAGCAATACCTTAAACGTTCAGGTGATTGATCACTGGGAAGAATTTCCATTAAAAACCATATAGTTATTAATCTTGAAGATTTTCCCCAAAATATAGTTTTTATTTAGAGGCTGAAAGCTTTTCAAAGTAATCCTCAAAGTACTGGTATGCTCATTTATCATGCTGAAAGGTAGGGTAGGGCTGTGTTTTATCCCTCAGAAGGTGGTAGGTATGAGAGCAGAATTAAAACATCCCTTCTTCAAGGGACTTCCCGGGTCCCTGTGCTCTATGCTCTATACTCTATGATGTGGCTCAAGTTTGATTCCTGGTCAGGGAACTAGATCCCACATGTTGCAACTAAGAGTTTGCATGCCACAACTAAAGATCCAGCATGCTACAACAAAGATAAACGATCCAGAGTGCCACAGCTAAGACCTGGCACAGCCAAATAAATATTATTTTTTAAAAAAATCCCTTCCTCAAATCCATGCACACCAACCCTGAGCTTCTGGCAGCAGGGTGATGAGGCTGCCTCCCATAGGGAACTGCTCCCCAAATGTCACTGCTGGCTGAGCTGGCTCCTGTCTTAGGCTCTTGTTCCAAGTAACCACACCTGCCCCTGTTTGCAGAAAGCTTTGCTTCCCAAGTGTGAAAGGTGAGGAGCATTGGCTTCTATTTGGTACTGATTTTGCATTATGAGCTGGTGTTAATCTCCTGAATTTTCTCTAAACTGAGAGATGATAGTTCATCCTTCCAAGTTTATTCTATGAAAGGAGCACTTTTTGAAACACAGGTCATTTGACATGAATGCACAATAAGCCAGGCATATGACTCACTTCTTGCAGAAGCCCGAGCAGGAGCTTGTCAGGGGAGAGAAATCACATGAGAATATAGCAGAGGCTCTTTGTAGCCCAGGATAAGGGAGAGTGAGATGATCCCAATGCTACACTCTGCATTTTCTGTGTGATTAGTGGTTAGGGCACTGTGCTAAGTACTCTTCCAGGAACATCTAATAGAGATAAGAAAGATAGGCTTCCTTAAGGAGCTTTGCAATTTATAAACTTATAAATGTATAAATTTACATGACACTAGAGTCCCACAAAATCTTTGTTGCCAACAACTCTTACTGACCTTTTACTCTGTGGAGTTTTAACCTTTATTTCCCTCATATTATGGATGATAGAGCTGAGGTCCCTGGACATGGGAGTCACGTAGCTGGTTGGTGGCAGAGCCAACTGGAACCCAGGCATTCCGTGTTAAAGCCCACATTGACATGTCTGAAAGCAAAGCAATAGAAGTCCTTACGGTTTGCAAGTGCTTTTTACGTACATCATCTGGTGATCCTCTTTCTTCAGGTGAGAAAAGAGATTTGGATTTTTATGGGATTCTTTTCTGATCTCTTTCAGTTCTGCAAGACACTTCCATTCTTCAGGAAGCGAGTTTGAGGGACGCACAGCAGGTGACTACCTTCCAGCTACCCCCGGTGAGTGATTTCTGGAGCAATCACTCATGAGCCTTAGTGCTTGGCACATGTGTTTCAGTATCTATCATGTACTGTGATGGCTGTTGAATGTACATGACCCAAAGGAGATGAAACTCATTTCTTACTAAAAATTGATATATCTTTGATTAGTGTGACACACAGGGAGATACTGTAAATTTAATATCTAATGAGCTTTGATATGCATCTTGTGAAAGAAAGATGTATACTTTGGTATTCAGTGTTGTTTTATCACTCTGTTGAAGATAGTTGCTGCCTAGTGAACTAGAAATCACCATCATGAAAACCTTTTTTTCTTTTTTGGTTTTAAAAAATGTATGGTAGTCTAGGCATAACATAAAATATACTATCTTAACCATTTTTAATATAGTGTCTTTAAGTGTTCAGTAATATTAAGCATATTGATATTGTTGTGGCTCCAGTCTCTTAGTGTTTTTTCATCTGGTGGTGGTGGTGGCTTAGTCTCTAAGTCATGTCTGACTCTTGCAATCCTGTGGACTGTAGCCTGCCAGGCTCCTCTGTCCATGGGATTCTCCAGGCAAGAATACTGGAGTGGGTTGTCATTTCCTTCTCCATCTGCCCAAGTTGAAATTCCTCACAAATTAAGTAATTCCCTCCATTCCTCATACCCCCCAGCCTCTTGAAGCCACCATTCTACTTATTCTATGACTTGACTACTCTAGATAGCTCCTGTAAGTGGAATCATACAGCATTTTTCTTTTCATGACTGGCTTATTTCATTAAGCATAATGACCTCAAGGTTCATCCTTGAAGTAACATATGCAGATTCTCCTTCCTTTTTAAGGCTGAATAGTATTCCCTGCTATGTATATAATGCATTTTGTCTATCTGTTCATTCATTGATGGACACTTAGGTTGCTTTGACCTTTTGGTTATTGTGAGAAATGTTGTTCTGTGATCATGGGTGCACATGAAATTTATCTATTTTAAATTTTTTTACATAACTGTAAATTCACATATAGTTCAATTTACATGAAGTTGAATCTCTTGTACTCACAAGAGATCCCTTATACTTTTATACTAAGTATAAGATTGCTTATACTTTTATACCAAGTAATATTTGTTATTGTTCAGTCACTAAGTGGTGTCTGACCTTTTGTGACCCTATGGACTGCAACATGCCAGGCTTCCCTGCCTTCACCATTTCCTGGAGTTTGCTCAAACTGTTGTCCATTGAGTCAGTGATGCCATCCAACCATTTCATCCTCTTATCGACCCCCTTCTCCTCCTGCCGTCAGTCTTTCCCAGCATCAGGGTCTTTTCCAGTGAGTCCGCTCTTCGCATTAGGTAACCAGAGTTTTGGAGCTTCAGCTTCAGCATCAGTCCTTCCAGTGAATATTCAGAACTTTAGGATTGACTGGTTTGATCTCCTTACAGTCTAAGAGACTCTCAAGAGTCTTCTCTCTCACCACAGTTTGAAAGCATCAGTTCTTCAGCACTTAGCTTTCTTTATGGTCCAACTCACATCCATCCATACATGACTGCTGGGAAAACCATAGCTTTGACTATACGGAACTTTGTCGCCAAAAGTGATGTCTCTGCTTTTCAATATGCTGTCTGTGTTTGTCATAGCTTTGCTTTCAAGGACCGAGTGTCTTTTCATTTCATGGCTGCAGTCACCATTCACAGTGACCTTGGAGCCCAGGAAAATAAAGTCTGTCATTGTTTCCATTGTCTCCCTATTTGCCATGAAGTGATGGGATTGGATGCCATGATCTTAGTTTTTTGAATGTTGAGTTTTAAGCCAACTTTTTCACTTTCCTCTTTCACCTTCATCAAGAGGCTCTTTAGTTCCTTTATGCTTTCTGCCATTAGGGTGGTGTCATTTGCATATCTGGGTTATTGATATTTCTCCCATATTTCACATGTTAGTAAGGTAATGCTCAAAATCCTTCAAGCTAGGCTTCAACAGTACATGAACCAAGAATTTCCAGATGTACAAGCTGGATTTAGAAAAGGCAGAGGAACTGGAGACAAAATTGCCAGCATCCATTGGATCATAGAACAAGCAAGGGAATTCCCGAAAAACCTCTACCTCTGTTTCATTGACTATGCTAAAGCCTTTGACTGTGTGGATCATAACAAACTGTGGGAAATTCCTAAATGGACATCTTGTGAAAATATACAATGTCACAACTAGCAAATTGACATGGATACATACAAGGTACAGGTCATTTGCTTCATTGGAGAATCCTTCATTTTGCCTTTTATAGCCAAACTCACTTCTCTTTTACACCATGCTCTCATCTTTCTCTGACAACTATTAACTTGTTTTATATCTCTGTAATGTTGTCATTTAAGAAAATTATATGAATGGATTCATACAGTATGTAACATTTGGGAATTTACAGCATGATTCTGTGGAGCTTCAGCCAGGGTTTTGCATGCATCAGTAATCTGTTCCTTTTTTAGTGCTGGGTAGAATGTCTTGGTGTGGCTATACTACAGTTTGTTTAACCAGTCACCCATTGAAGGACATCGTGGTTGTTTCTAGTTGGGGCTGTCTTGCTGAATCTGCTCACAGTGCCAGTTGTCTCGCTTTTCACACTGTCCACACTGTTCGCTGAACTCAGGGTAGGCAAGGCATGAGCTAAGAGGCTAGAGGAAGACTTGAGGAGCCGTAGGGACTACAGACATGTTTATTCTCTCCTGGCTGGCATAGAAGCCACAATACAGCGTCTCTCCTGGCTGACGTGGCAGCCATAGCAGCAGCCACAAGGTAATCATAATGTAGCCATAACAAGCCATGATATAACCTCACGTAACATAATCATGATGTTCTTCCAACATAGCCCCAATGTAGCAGCAGCCAGAGTTTTTCATGGTGAGCTCATGCAGGGACACCCCACAAAGTAGCCCGTGACCAAGGGAGTACCTCATGAGTGCATGTGCAGTGCTAGAAATGATTTCAGCTGTTCATAGTCATTATTTACAAAATGTGGGGTGAGAGAGCCTGAACACAGCCATCCTGGCTAATTTGCTCTCTCCCCACAGGGGCCATTTTGCATAAAGCTGCTGTGAACATTTGCATACAGGTTTTGTGTGAATGTCAGTCTTTATTTCTTTGGGATAAATGCTCAGGCATACAGTTGTTAAGTTGACTGGGAAGTGCATATTTAGTTTTGTAGGGAAGCTTTTATTTTCCAGAGTAACTTCCTTTTCAAGAGTAACTGTTCCATTTTGCGTTCCTGTGAGCTACGTATGACTAAACTACACTGTCCACATCCTCTCACCCTTTGTTGTTGTTACTTTTTTTTTTAAGCCATTCAAATAAGTGATATCTCACTGTGGTTTAAATTTGCATTTCCCTCATGGCTGATAAAGTTGGACATCTTTTCATATGCTTCTCCACTGTCTGAATATCCTCTCAGGTGAAATGTTTCTTTATGACTTTTGCCCATGGTTCTAATTGGACCATTTACTTTTTTACTATTGTTTTAAGAACTCAATATATATTCCAGATACTTGTCCTTTGTTGGATATGTGTTCTGCAGATTTTTCCTCTTACTCTGAAACTTGTCTTTCCATCCCTTTAACAGAGTTTTTAACAGAACAAAAGTGTTAAATCTGGATTAAGTCCAGGTTGTTAGTTTTTCCTTTTAAGTATCAGGCTTTTTGGTATAAAGTCTAGGAACTCTTTGCCTAGTATTAGATCCCAAAGATTTTCTCCTGTTTTTTCCTAAAAGTGAGATAGTTTCACATTTTACATTTGAGTTCATTTAATCCATGATCTGTGATCCATTTACATTTAAGTCCATGACCTCTAATTTTGTGTAAATGTGAGACTGAGGTCAAGGTTCATATTTTTTGCCAGTGGATGTTTTTTGCCACTTGCTCCAATGCCATCTGTTGAAAAGACTGTCTCTCCTCTACTGAATTGCTTTTGTTCCCTTGTCAAAAAGCTGTTGAGCATATTTGTGTGAGTCTTTTCCTTGGTTCTCTATTCTGTTCCATTGATCTTTGTCTCTTTCTCTGTTAGTACTATACAAGTTTGATTACTGTAGCTATATGCTAAGTCTTAAAAGTTGGATAGATTGAGTCTTTTACTTTATTTTATTCTTTTTTTTTTTTCAAAATTATTTTAGCTATTTTAATCCCTTTGATTTTAGCTATTTTAATTCCTTTCTCTGTAAATTTTAGAATAAAATTTAGAATAAAATTACAAAGGATCTTACTGAGATTTTGATAGGAATTTTGTTAAACCAACCTGTATATCAATTTGGGGAACACTGGCATTTTTATCATCTGAGTCTTCCAATCTGTGAATGCAATATGGTTCTTCATTTACTTTTTTAAAAATTTATTTCATCACTTATATAAGTTCTTAGCATATACATTTTGTACTTGTTTTGTTAGATTTAGAGCTAGGTACTTCACTTTATCAGCAGTTGTAAATTATAATATATTTAAAATTGTGGTGACAACACATTTATTTATAGAATAAGAAACATACTTGATTCTTGTAAGTTTATTTTGTATTCTGAGACCATGCTGGAATGGTTTAAGAAGGGTTTTGGTGCGGTTTTTGTTTTTAATTTTAAGCAGTCCTGGATTTTCTGTGTAGACAATTATGTCATCTGCAAATAAGGGCAGTTTTATTTCTTTCTTTTTAGTTTCTAATAGGGCAAGCTTCTCTTGCCCTATTCCACTGGATAGAACTTCCAGCATAATGTTGAATAGCAGGGGTGGGAGCAAACCTCCGTCCTTGCCCTATTCCCCATCTTAGGGGGAAAGCATTTAGTCTTTCACAGTTAAGCATGTTAGTTGCAAAATTTAAATAAATTCTCTTTATCAAGTTGTGTAAGTTTCTTAATTCCTGTTTTTCTGGAGTTTTTATTGTGTGTGATTGTTGAATTTGTCAAAACCTTTCCTTTATCAGTTGATATGATCATGTGAATTTTCTTTAGACTGTTAATATTGTGGATCATATTGATTGACTTTTGAATTTGAACCAGCCTTTC